AACGTGACCTGTCGGCGGCCGCCCACGAGGGGAGGTCAGGCCGGCTCTTCTCTCCAGACAGTGTCTTTCCCCCACCCGCAGCAGATGTGCCCGGGTGCATCTTTTCCGCCTCATCGAGGATTTCCTTGATCGTACCGAGCACGCTTGTGACTGTCTCTGTCATGCCTGCCTCTTCCACGCTGTCGTCGATGTCGCCCTGCTTTCCCTTGGAGTTGTCGCTCCAGTCGACGCCCCATGTTATGAGCCGGTCTTTCTGTATCCTAAACTTGCGATGCAGCGCATGCGACTCAGGCGTGTCTTTGGCGTCCTGTTCCACAACGGCATCGCATGTGGTTTTGGTATCGGAGTAGAGCTGTGTCAGGCGCCGGGGTAGTCTACTGATGGTCTCCATGGTCACGACTGGCTTGAGGCTTGTCGCAACGAGTATTCTGACGCGCGACGGGCGAGGGCGGAGGGATATTAAGTGTGACGAGGTAAAGACATGAAGGAAGCCTGCAGCGCGTTTGCCTGGAAGGTGGTCGTCATGGCACAAGACCCGTGTTCAGTCAACTGGGCTGACTGGGGTGCATTTGGTGGTTGCCTACAGCCAGCCCTAGCACCGCCTCGCTGCCGTAGACGAGTGGGGGGAGAGAACATAACGCCGCCGAAGCCCGCCAATCATATGCCGTTCAACTCCGCCCGCGCCTGCGCCTCCACCTCGGCAGCTACAGCAGCTGGCCTTCATCACAAGGCATCATCGCTGGCACACACACATACTCGACAATTTTGCTCACTTGGAGGCTGTGACACATGCTTTTGTTTCTATTGCTACATTGTTCTCACTCGTGCTGCCCATTTGCTAGCTCTGCGACGACAAACTATGTAAACATCTAATCCTCAGTGAGATCACCATACTCCCACTGGCCGCGGCGCTCCTCCTTGGCCACGTCCTGCTTCTTCTTCATGGCAGCAAGCACACTGGCGTTGCGCTCCCATGGCCGCAGCTTCTTTGGCACCATGGCAAGACCTTCGCTAAGGATGTCGGCGTTGATGCTTTCTGTGCCGTCTTTGCTTTGGTCGGGGTTGTACAATGTTACCCAGAGCATGCCATCCTTCTCAGTAGCCTCAACTCTGGCGACGAGCTCACGGTCAGCTGTCTCTTGCGAGATGAAGCTGACGGCGTCGGCAAGGTACTCAGAGTTGCCAGGAAGCTGAACAAACGCCAATTGGGCCTCTACAGCCTGCGGCTTCAGTTTCGATGGCAGGAACTCGGCTTGTGAGAGAGGACGAAGGCGGGCCCATGGGATCGTCTCCGAGTTACCGTAGTCAATGTAAACGACCTCAGCCTTCTTGTTCTCTCGGTCATTGCGTCGGATGCGCGCACGGTACCATTGGTCGTCAGCAGTGAACTTGGCTGCTACGAACTCGCCGGCCTTGGGTGCATCTGGCAGACTAGCGCTGTTTGCTGGGTTGAGATGGAACTTGCTGAAGGCGCTCATTAGGGATGTCAAGGCTGATGTGCCGCTGCCGATCTGCTGCAGACGAAGTCTTCCGTCGTCTTCAACGTGGGTGATCATAACATCGCGGTAGTCTGCCTTCCTCGATGGTTCAGCGTCGCCGTTGGTGGGCTCTGCAACTGCTGCTGTTTCGTCATCTTCTTCTTGAGACGGATCGTAATCTTGCCACAAGTTCTTTCGTGCATCCTTGGCCTTTTGCTCAGCCGCAAACAGTTCGTTTGCGTTGCCAGACTTCTCCGCTGAGTAGGCATGAACCGTAGCCAGACCTTCCTCAACCAGAGTCTTTGCAAAGTTCTCACGGTTAATGTACAGAGTACCAATGAAGCCACCGACCTTGTCGCAGTCTTCGACGTCAATCTCGACGTCGCGCTGCTGACAGCGGCGGTTGGCAAATTCATGTGCCTCCTTGCCAAAAGGTTCGCCCTTTTCGCTTTCGTTTCTCGCTGATCGAGGTGCGCGAATACCGGAAAGGACAAAGGTGAGCTTCGCGTTCTCGCGAGGTACTAATACAGTAAAGCGTGATCCTGACTTGACGAAGTCGACAATGGCCGGTACCTTGCGTTGGCGCGAAAGCAGAGTGAGTTGACGCTTGGCCTTCTCGAGCGACTCCGAGTAGTCGCCGTACTGCTTCACCGAGGGAGACTTATCTGACCAGAGGCCCTTCTTTTCAGCTTGTGCAGTGGACTCGGCGAGGAGGAGGTCGTCGTAGATCGGGCTCCTGTCGGCATCGTCCTGTCGGTGGCGGATTACCGAAGCCATACCGCTCTCAACAAGCATCAAACCAACGTTCTTGCCCTGGAAAGTGACTGTGCACATCTCACGCTCGTCATAGCCCTCGGTCGCCGGTCGCTTTCCGTCGACGTGGAACTTGACGTGCTTGCCGATGAGCTTCTTGCGCAAGAACTCCTTTGCCTCAGCCACCCATGGTGATTGCTTGGGATCGGTAGGCTTCGGTTGACGGACGCTGCTGAGGTTGATGCGCTTCTCCGCACCCGCCTTGTTCCGAATGAAGATGGTGTCGGCGCTCTGAACACGGCTAACGGTGGCTTCTTGCTCGCCTGCCTTGCTGATCTTGGGCGCAACATGCTCCTTGTAGACACCCAGGCGACCATCCTTTGCCTGCTTCTCGGCCCCCCTCAATATGCCCATCCTCTGCCCGAGGAGGGTGGTGTGGTGGTCGGTACATTTGGCCAATCCGTTCTTAAGCAGGAAAGGTGTGATGCTGCCTTGGGTAGGGTGCTTTACGTCTGCGACAATCTGGCCGTTGGGTGTTGTGCCTAGAACCTCGACAAGGACTCCTCGCTGTAATAGCCTAGCCTCGACGAATTGTTGCGCATCGTCACCGAATGGCTCGGCTGGTTGGACCTTGCCGTCGGAGGGGTTTGTTCGCTGTGTTGCTGGTGCGCGGACACCGGCGAGGAGGACCATCGTTTGCACGTGCTCGGTGGGCGAGAGGAGGAATCGCACGATGAGGCGGTCGCCAGAGAGGACCTTCTCAACAATTGAGTCAATGTCTTTGCCCTTGTTCTGTTCGACAAACTGTTGCGGATCGCTCAGCTCTGAAGACGAGTTGATCCTGCCGCCAGTCTCAGCCCAGAGGCCCTTGGAGTCTGCCCTAGCGCGGGCTTCATCTACTGCAAGTCGTTCAAGCAGGTTGGCAGCTTCATCCGAGTCTTCCTTGCGACCGGCGTCGTCTCGCAGCTTCACCCAGCCCGCAGCGACGGCTTGTTGCGGAAGAATCTCCTTGTTCGGTGTGACGATGAGGCCATATTCGCGGTTTGCGCCAGTCGGTATCTTATACAGAACTTGGAAACGCACGACCTTGCCTACAAGCAGACGTCGGAGGTAGTCGCGTGACTCGAAGGCAAAAGGCTCGTCTCCCTCTCGTCGCAGTCTCGGCGCAGTTACAAAGGCTAAGCTCAGTGTGCGCTCTGCTTTGGGATTGTTGATGTTGTGTAGGACGACAGTATCGCCGGAAAGGACGCTCTTAACTTTTGCTTCGAAGAGGTTGCTCATGATGGACGTCGGATAGCTGCAGAACGGGAGGGGAGCTGTTAGCTACCGTGTCCAGAGAGCTTCAGATGCCAGGTGGGGCCACGCAACAATTCCCCTGCACTTACCTGAAGGAGATACCAAAATGGGGTCAATGTACCAAGGGGAGTTTTTGGGAGGTGCAATTGATGTGTGGATTGTATGTCAATTGCAATTCGGGGATAGTGAAGCTACGTGTTGTTATGGCGGGCAAATCTCGCCGTTGCTACTCAGGGACCTTTCGCTGTGGGGTCAGAGGCCTAGGCGAAGCTAGACGTCACCGCCGCCGCCTTCCAGACTTCTGTTACTACAAACTGTACTACCCCCAACTTGAACACCACGCCAAAACCTATCTGGGTACCTGGATACAGATGTCGATTCTCATGTGCCACCGCTGATAGAGAGCCACGTGCCGTAAGCCCGCAAATTATGCTTCACATCACAGCAAACACGCCGCGACAGACACTCTCTTAGGCTTCCGTGTCTGGCATGCGCTCCGCCTGGGAATACTCTCAAATACCTTTGCAGTATATCTACTCAGGAGACTATTTCCTTTCAGAGACGCCTTCTTCCTTGCTGCCCTGCTTCTCTCGTTGTTGGAAAACTACCTGGTCCAAAGACAATTCCGCGTTACGACCCGACAATGCTGGTAAGCGGACTTTGCCAGGGGTACACGTGGGACGCTTGAACGGTGCCGCAGACGAGCATTAACTCCCCGCCCAACTTGGTAGGAGACCCGTCCACACCTCGCAACCCTGACATACGGTGAAGATGGACGACGCGTCGCCCCCAAGACGTCCTCGACCAGTTGTTTCATGCCTTAGATGTCGCGAGAAAAAGCTGAAATGCGACCGCACAACGCCATGCGAAAATTGCACCAAAGCATCCATCGCTGAGACCTGCACTTACAATCGAAGCGGCATCATCATCCCAGCTGCATCCAAAGTAAAACGACCTCGACTATCGAGCACTTCTGACAGTGCGCCTTTAAGCTTGCTCGACGATCTTCAGCACCGAATGGCAAAAGTGGAAGAGCTCTTGGGCGTTGCTCGTGCACATCAAAGCTCAGCAATAACCCGCATCGACCGGCCGACGTCGACAGATCTTCCTCTGCTTGGCATGGTCGTTGCTGAAGGAGATCGGTCACAGTATCATGGGCAGAACGACAGGGTTACGCTCCTCAATCAGGCAAGAAAATTACAGCACTATAGTTCTGGGCACTGAATTAACTGAATCCAGTTCCTCGATGTCAAAGATTTTCTCAATAGGATGGCTTACGATGGACCATTAATGGCATCTGCCAAGAAGATCAAGTTTCTTGAGAACAAATCCAGAGGGAATTCACTATCACTGCTACATCGCCGGAAAGACCATGAATCTTCGCCTACATTGCTAAAGCTCTGGGGGTCGCTACCTCCAAAGCCTTACTGCGATAGGCTAGTTTCGATATACTTCAAGTATTTCGAGCGAACTATGCGTGTTCTTCATCGCCCAACATTCATGCGTCAGTATGAAAGGCTATGGCATAACAACGAATCCGAGATCGGTTCCTCATCCAGCATCATCGCACAGCTCACAAGCCTTATGACCAGAGCTTACTTGCTGGATAACGCAACAAACGCCAACGAGCACGAAGCCCATACGCTCTATCTGAAAGAGACGGCTATCAACTATGTCGAAGCATGGCTCGACGAACTTGGACGAAAACAGAGGACCGAGCTATCAACTCTTCAAGTCGAGATACTTGTGCTGTTTTCCAGTAGCGTTCGAAAGCCAGAGACGCTTTGGCGTTCTAGTGGCGCCCTTGTACGCTCAGCTATGACGATTGGCTTACATTGGGATCCGGCCAACATAAAGTCTATTTCACTTTATCAGAAGGAGATGCGAAAGCGGCTGTGGGCAACCGTTCTAGAAATCGATCTACAAGCGTCAATGATGGGAGGAATGCCCTTGATAGCTCCTGATCTCGACAATTACAATCCAGTACCGACAAATTTAAACGATGAGGATTTCGATGAATCTTCAACAAAAATACCCGCTTCGCGCCCACTCAGCGATCTCACAGACACTGTATACCAGGTTTACCTTGCTACATCTCTTCCCCAGCGGTTCGAGGCTCTTTCGCTTGTGCAGCGCTCGACACCTGATGCGAACGAGGCAATCGAAATAGGGAGGAAAGTCGAAAAGTGCTTAGTTTCCAAACCCTCGATCCTCAGCTTGCACCGCAGTCAACTAATGCCTGGCGATCGAGGTGATCTACTGCATCGCGTTCTTCTCGATTTGTACCTTCGGCGACCGCTATTCTGCTTGTACAAACCACTCCTTTATAACGACCAGGGAAACCCCGAAGCGACCAAAGAAGTCTGGCTACATTGCATCGATTCATCGCTAGCCATACTCGCCTATCAGGATTTCTATAATCCTCCAATCTTGAAGGAAGCAGCTGATGGACCATCATCGGAGCAAGACTTTTACTATTATACGTGCAAAACAGACACTTTGTGGGCAGCTCTTATGATATGCCAGCGCATCAAACAAATCTGCCAGCACCCAGAGCAGCAAATGCACGCACATCATGAACAAGCACTTGTTGCAACTGTGCAAAATACCATCAGATCTCTCATCGCGAGAATGGGGCGCAAAGGAAGTGATTTGAAAGACATCATCTTCCTCTCTCTGGTGCTGAAGTGGGTGCAGTTACCGGACTCATGTCCAGAAAGAACCTATGAGCTCCACCTAACCGCCACGAGAACAATGGCGGCTTGTGTCGATCAATTGCTGCAGTATGAGCTCCGAAGTAACCATTATCGACATCGACAAGACGAGTACACTGAACCGTTGCCGCGCATACGAACTTCCGCAACACCCATGTCGCATATTACCATCAACAGCAACCCCATCACACCGGGACTGGCACTTAATCCATCGCTACCTGAGCGTCGCGCTACGCCAAACATTTCTGAGGAAGCTGAACAATGGCTCAGCGACTTTCCTGGATTAGCTGCTGAGTTTACGAACTTTCAAGCTGAATTGTACAATGGCAACGATGCTTTCAATAGTGGTGTGGCGCAAGATTGGGAATATTTTTGGCAGTAATGATTGCGGTATGGGATAGGCTCACGACAGGTAGCAGAAGAAGAAAAACCTGAGATAAGAAGTGCTGCGATGCAGAAAGATACCCCTTCCATGTTCCGACGTTTCATGTGTTCTCGGTTTCTTTTTCATGGTTCATTTACAAAAGACGTTTCGTTACGAACACAGCCCCACCATCCAACTATCTTGTCAATCCTTGGACACCTTCCAACACACCCATGGTATGTTTCCACACTCTGTCCCTAGTGTCACTCTGCCTCAGCTTCGCATAACTCACTTCCTTTTTCTCATCACCCCTCTGACCGACAGCATATGCACCACCGCCTCTTTCTCTCATACTACTGAATGCCACATCATTTCCCTCTTTATCGCCCTTCGTATTACCCTTGCCGTCATCCGCCCCAACACCTAAGCCCTGTGCAGGATATCTCCCAGACCCCAAAAACACCATGACATGCCCACAAACCTCGGGGCTCGTCATGTACCAAGCCATCAATACCTTGGCTACACGCCACAAAATACGGAACCACAACGGATTCACATGACTCAAGAATACCGGCCCATCAACTAGCCCAGGGTAAATATGAATAAAAGATATCTTGCCAGCGTGTTTCTCGGCCAGGGCCTCGAAAAGATACGTCTTCATAAAAGAGACGTGCGTGCGGACCGATGTGACGCCGTATTTCTTGGGCGGCGGTGGGCCGATAGGGAGGTTTCTCGCATCGATGCGGTCTTCCATTGTGCCTGCGAAAATAGATATTACGTGGGCACCTGAGGGACTTTGAGAGCGATAGAGGAGTGGGGTTAGGTTGAGGATGAAGCGGATGCGGGAGTAGTATAGGAGAGACATTTGAGTGTCTAGTCCTTCTTTTGTTGCTGGAGGGTTGATTGTTGATGTTAGCATATGGAAATTTTTGTTGCTACTATGCGACTATGCTCCAGTTTCTCATCTGGTAGTAAAAAGTAGAAGAGAACTCACGACCGGACGGTGCTAAAGGTGAGAACGCTTGACTCATGTACAACATATCTATCCTCGGTCCTCCCCCCTTCAACGGCTCTTCCTCCTCGTACCGCTTGATCTGCGCACACACGGTATCGACATCGCTCATCATCGCCAGATCATTCGCTTTCAAGAACCGCCATTCTGAACCTGGACTCGTCGAGCGCACATCTGTGAGCAAGGCCTCTGCGCGTGAGGCGTCGCGACCAACAAGGTAGACGCGAAGTTTGACTCCGGCGTTGCGGTAAACGGAGGCGAATACCTTTGCTGTGTATGATCCGATGCCCGATGTGCCGCCTATGATGGCGATGACAAGAGGGGGACCGGTGGGTAGTGTGGTAAGGGTAGCGTGAATCTGGGCGCGGGATGGCATTGCTTGGACAGTTAGACTTTTGTAGGGAGAGCATAGTTAAGTTGCTAAGGGAATGATATTTATATGTATACAGATGCTACTACTCCCCATTCTTCGTGATGGTTGAATGCTTGATTCTACCATTGTGGTTGTCCGGATTAGGAAAATCATGCGCCAGCGGACCTGATGAGTTTAGACCAGATGAGGCGTCCAACAACTTGAGTCCAATGGTATCGTCAGATGTGGATGCGACCGGAAGCTTATTGCGCCGAGATATGGTATTTGATGTATCTTGATGTTGAGCAGATGGAGCTCCTTTGAGCCTCTGCCTACGTATGAGGAAGAGTTCGCGCGATGTGTGCATCTTCGGCATAGAGGCGCTCAACCGGCATCTAGCTGCAATTGGTGATCTAGCATACACTGTACTATGTATGTACACGGTGTAATGAATTCCAAGTTTAAGAGATAATACTTGCTGGGGTACGTGATAGTCGTTGAATTTATTTGGGCGCAAAATCGCCACAGTTGCCCAGATGGACCATGTTCAATTAATTTCCGGCTCGCATCTGAACCCTAGCTCGCTGCAACTGTAGTAGATGTCAAAGTGTACGTGCAAAGGTACTAATGTATGTTGCGAGGCATGGTGCATGCAAACCAATATTTTGGCTGCAGAAACGTGACCGTGGTACGTGTACCATATGCAGCATGCAAGAGGCTAGAAGGCTGGCGCGCATTTTTGACAGTTGAGCCAAACAAGTATCTGCTTCTGCTGAAGTCCGGTAGGATGACTTGACGCTGACGCGGCGCTCGTATGCACGGCGGAACGAGATTCGCTCAAGGGCGCGGGGTAGGATCGAGTGGTGAGCACAACATGTCTTATCAGCCGGGCCGGATGGCGATCTGGTGTTTGTGTTTCACCACAGCGATCAGATGGCTACAAGGGCAATGGATGTCGCGCATGACGACCGTGGCTGAGACAACGGACTCGGACTTCGTAGCAAAAGATGCGAGTGCGGGAATAAAAAGAGGAAACACGATGGGCGATGGCAAACAGATGGCAAAGTTGAGGCTATGCTATGCAGACTAGACAGGCTTAAAGTAGGTCGCTCCAGATTTCCGAGTGGAGCCGTTTGCGGTAGCGGCTGACACGAGGAGCTAATGGTGGAACGTGGTGAAGTCAAAGACGTTGTTGACAGAAGCTCGAAGCAGCAGAGACTATGCAGGATAGACAGCAAGGCGTGCAGTCGAGCAGGGGATGAAAGGGATAGACACCAAAGAGGATGCGCGGCAATAAAGATGCAACTGATATGGGAGATTGCCTATGGCCCAACCCTTGTTCGCGCCGTTGTCGATGCGGCTTCCCGTGGGTAGCGCCAAGGCCTCGCTGCGACTGCTTGTTTCTGGTGAGGCTATATCGCGCCTGCCTACTTTGAGCGCACAGGCAGGCGCGATGGATCACAGCGCAGCAACAGGCAGGCACCGTGTTGATCCTGATATGGGAGTGAATTGATGAGAGATGAGAGAGTTGAGAGAGAAGCAGAATACGACCGAGAAAGCAAAAAGGGCCATGGTCGGGTCTGCGAAAAGGCGCGCTCGCTCGGTATGTGCAACGGCAGCAGCTTATCACGGCGAAAACCTGTTGAGGCTGTTTGGAGGCTGGTGCATTGGCGGAGACGTCACAGGTGGGTTCGCTGGTGGTTTCCTGGGTGAATCTTGCGGGCTAGCGCAGCCAACCCGTCAGCCTCTGTCGTGCCAGAGCCGTGTACCCGACTAACACACCTGCATCAACTCGGCCACACGACTGCTCTCTCTCCACAATTGCGCCTCTGCGAAACGCTGCATCATCATTTTCTCTCGTTTTTGTCGGGCCCTTGCGTTGCAGCTCCTACGAAGAAGAAACCCTCGACCAAGCGTGTCCCGCGCCCCCAACCACTAGCCAGGCCCAGCCATAGTCCGCCCATCGCGATCATCAGAGCGGCGCGCCGCCGTCCGCTACCACTTCCGAGCGTTGCCCGCGCCCGCCTGTCGTTTTCGCCTTTTGACGCGAGGTGTGTAAGAAAACCTCAAACAAGCACCCACAATGGCTTTCCAGCAACCCCAGGCTTGGCCATTAGGACAGCAACCAGACTCCCTACCGTCCGACGACAATCCGCCGCCTCCGCCTGTTCATCGCACCCCCGTGGGTATGCACCAGCAGCGACAGTATACCGACCCCAACAACTACTCCGACTACTCGACTCCAGGCGTCACTCCAGGCTCTGACAACATGGGCGACACAGCCGCTGGCGGCGGTATTAACGGCATCGCCAACGGCGTCGCTAGCAACCACCCACGCGAGAGCGGCATGCAGGCCGCGAGAGGTATGCCAGGCCCAGGACGACCCATGGGCGTACCCAACAGGAACTCGCAGTCCTCACCCTTCAACGACCCGAATGGCTACGACCAGCCCATGGTGCCCCGTCCAATGCACTCGAATCGTTCCTACGGTTCAGGCGCACCACTGGTCGCTGGCATGTACTCGAGTGACAGCTCCCTGCACAGCATGCCCCACTCTCCTCACAGCGGCGCCCCCTACAACGACACGCCCTACAACCGCTATTCTTCGTCTGCCCAGAACCTCGCTCCCCAGATGGGCATAATCAACCCACACGAAGTCGACAATGATGACGACTGGGGAATGGGCCCAGACCACAACTCTATGCAGAACAAGCGACGCTCTTTCGTGCCATTTGGTGGCTCGCGGGACGGCAGCAGTCGCAATGGTTCTCCGGGATCATCAATAAACCACGGAGCTGTTGGTGCTGCCGCAGGCGCTGGTGCCTTCACTGCCGCGTCGTCGCGAGACGGCACCAAGTACGATGCCGTGCCAATGGTCAACGGAAGTGGAGAACTCATGCCAGAAAAGATCGCCAGCTGGAAAGCCGAAGACGACTTGAAGAAGCGGAAGAAGAGAATGTGGATAGCCATTTCAATCATCGCTCTCATTCTCTTGGGTGCAATTCTTGGTGGTGTCCTAGGTGCTACTATCGGCAAGGGCGGAGGTCACGACGCTAGCAAAGCCGAAGCTGAGCAATCTTCTCAAGATGTCGCCAAAGACAACAAGGAGGATCTTGGCAAGGATTCTGATGAGATCAAGGCCTTGATGAACAACGCCGATCTGCACAAAGTCTTCCCAGGCATGGACTACACTCCACTCAACACACAATACCCAGACTGTCTCCACGTCGGACCATCCCAAAACAACATCACCCGAGACTTGGCTGTCATGTCGCAACTGACCAACTCAGTCCGTTTGTATGGTACCGATTGTAACCAGACTCAGATGCTCATCCATGCTATTGATCGCTTGGAAATCAAGGACACCATGAAGATTTGGCTCGGTGTTTGGCTCGACAAGAACGATACTACTACTGAGCGACAGATCGCTCAAACATGGGACATTCTCGACGATTACGGCTGCGATTACTTCAAGGGTATCATCATCGGTAACGAGGTGCTTTACCGCAAAGACCTGACGGAAACCGAGCTACTCGGTCACATTACCGATTTCCGCAAGAACATCTCGGACCACAGCTGCCAGCTGCCTGTCGCCATGGCCGATCTAGGCGACAACTGGACTGCCGATATGGCTTCCAAGGTCGATATTGTCATGTCAAACGTTCATCCCTTCTTTGCTGGTGTTGACGTCAGCGAGGCGGCCGCCTGGACCTGGAACTTCTGGCAAACCCATGATGTGTCTCTCACTGCGAGCCAAAACGGCATACACCAGGTCATCGCAGAAGTTGGTTGGCCATCCGGAGGCGGCACTGACTGTGGTGCAGCCGATACTTGCGCCGGAGGATCCGTTGCTGGGATTGATGAGATGAACCAATTCATGGAAGACTGGGTCTGCCCAAGTCTGGCAAACGGAACAGAGTATTTCTGGTAAGTGTTTGCATCGCCGTTCGTTGACGCACCGTCACTAACATATATCTGCAGGTTCTCAGCATTTGACGAGCCATGGAAGATTCAGTACAACGAAAAGGGCAAAGAGTGGGAAGACAAATGGGGTCTCATGGATATCAACCGCAACCTCAAGTCTGGCCTCAAGATCCCCGATTGCGGCGGCAAATCTCTACCCTCGACGTACGACAATTAGATACGAGACGAGCGCGTATAGCATTCATTCTCATCACGAGTTCTTGCATGACGGCATGGCGTTGGCGGGCGTTTTCATCTTCGGCATCAATGCGGCGACTCTTTCTCGACCGCTCTACCGATCTCTTTCCGCGAATTCTGTATATCCAGGGCGCAATTGTACCCTTTTCCTTTTCTTTTACGCGGGTCTGAAATCCCACAATCGGATACCATGGGGTGTCTACCTGTCTGGGCCCTACATCGAGACATGTTAGGAATTTTGCATTGGATAATCTCTGGAGGGAAAGGAAGCCCTCTACTTGTGTATATATACGATTACCGGGAATATGTTGGAACCCGGCTGGCCCTATTGTGTGTATCTGGTGGATTTTGGGCAAGTCTCTACCCAGGCCCAGGCTTCGGGCTGCATTTTTCTCCCTCTGCGCTTTGTGTAATAAGGAGGGAAAATGTTTGAGAGAAAAGCATTTTGTAGATAGAGCATGTGCGGAAATAAATAAATGCAAGAGACGTATCCTTTGTGTCTTATTCTCTTTCTCTTTCTTTCGGGACCTGAGGCCACGTCATCCGATTGCGTCAAGATTGGCCCTATCACGAGTATGTGTTCATCTGGTTATGAGGGGTGGCGTCAGCTGGATCCACTGGCACGGCGATTGCATGGGTAGTGAGTAGAAGCGGAGAAAGAGCAGCCAGGGGTGATCATTTGTGTCAAGCTGCTGGGTCTGGTCGCCTTTAGTGTGGTATCTGGTGAATCGGTGTTGAGTGATCGAACGGGCTATGTAGCGCCTACAATGTAGAAAGCATGCGTGCAAACGAACAGTCGGGTGTGCTGCGAAGCCCAATTTCAGTCGAGAAAGAGGGATGTGTTAGAAAAGACGTGAGGCTTG